GATGGATGGTGTTGTATAGTACCGATGTCATTACCATCAATATCCATGCCACCGACTAACGGACCAGCCGAATATTCATCTTTCACCAAACGACTTGGCCCGGACTGCAGGCTCAAACCGGACAAATCGATGCCTGGTGAAACGACCCGCTCATAATGATACGGATTGACGCAAACTGAATCGCATTTGAGATCGAAAGCGAATGCACAATATTTAACGTGCTTTAGTTCGTTTTTGTGCAGATCTGGCCAACGCCAAATGCGTGCGTATATGACATGTGGAAAGCCCTTACGACCAGCAACCTGTTTGGAAGTTGGAAAGATAATAAAGTTTATTTTAGTTTAGCGACGGTAATTATTGGCTTCTTTTAAGTTCATAATGAGTTTTTTTTTTTAAATAACACAAAGCAAACGCACCTGCAAACGGCCGTCTAATGTTCGTTGAATAGTGACACATTTGCTGGGATGTGCACCGTTCGTGGTGATGGCCGTTATCAGCGAATCCAATTCATCACGCTTTTCTTTTAATTTTTTCACCAGCGATTCAATAGCACGTTTTGCAAAGCCTTCACTCTCGCCACCTTGTCGATGGCACATGAGTGAATGAACAATGCTCAAGCACGCATCTGCTGATGTCGGTGCATTTGATGGAGGCGGTGGCATTTGCACCATGTCGCGCACTATTAATGCTAAAATAAATTACTTATATTAAAAAAATATAATTATGCAAGAATAAATTTAGCTTACTGTCTTGTGGCGGCACTGGTCCATACAGATGACCTGCAGCACCACCGGGACCACCTCCACCCGCTAAGCCCACCATGCCTGCGTAGTCCTGGGGCACACCCAGGTTGCCCCGGGCATCCACTTTGCCGGCGTTCGGGCTGTCGCCGTCACAGAAGGCAAATCCAGATGACGACCACAAATTGACGGCTATATTTAGGCGGACACTTAGCCGCCAACCAGTCCAGTCGGAAAAATATAAAGATAAAATAAAACTAGAAAAAATTCGTGTACGAAGAAATGAGGCAACAGAAAGCAACTGCAAACCAATTTGCCGATATTCTTAACTTCACTTTTCTTCTACGTTGATTTATAATGAAAGTCTCGTTTTATCGATGCAAAACGCGTACTTAACGCAACGCGATACAGAACGACTTGAAGCCGCCTGCGTATGTGTACAGTAGCGAAGTGATGAAAATGATATGAAGTGGCAGGAGCCAAGGGTGTACTATAGGGTGGAGTCCTCTGTTAGAGACAGTCCATTAAGAGCTCCGACAAATTTTTGTACTAATTTTGGTACTTTCTTTTTTTAATGTTTTCTTGGATAATTTGTGGTCCGTATATGATTTCCAGGTCCTCCCTCGCAAGCCGTTGTGAAAAATTCTTCCACTTTCTTTCAGTCTTCTTTTTTATTTTCCTTTTTTATATCCACACACACACATACCCATACCCACAGATGTGCTTCAATTCTATTTTTAAGCACAATTGATCGTAACGCAGCTTGTGGCCATACGCAAACAACGCCCGCCTGGCGGCTTTAATTAATTTTGCAGGCCTATGTTTTCAATATATATTATGGTTTCTTTACATTTTCACAATTCCAAACAATTTTCTTTGTCCATTGCCGAATGTGTTGCAGATCGCCGCACTCCTCCACACAACTCCGCTGCACACCCGTACCGTACCCGCACAAATCAACACTAATTAGACACCATTTTCATAAAACGTTCACGTCTTTTCTCACATTTTACGGACATATTCGCACAGAATTCCAACGCGTAATATACCGCGAGGGTTTAAAATAAAATTTCTAACAATTTCAGAATAATTTATTGAATTGATACTATTTTTCACATTCTATTATCGGCTGCCCCAAAAATTTCCCGTGCGATTTTCTATGAAGAAAATAAATATGGCGCCAGTGGACTTTTCGTGACTGTCTATTATTGGGAAGCGTATGGAAAGCAGTGTTCAACAATTTTATGGTCATTTTAGAAAAATGTCCCTATAAAATATCCCTATACAACGACATTTGACGTGATGTGTCAGTTTTTGTGCAGCCTTAGCGAAAACAACTTTTTGTTAAACAAAAATAAGTTTAACCAAAGTTAGGTTCGACAAAATGAAGCATTCAACTTCACCTACGCCATCAGTGACCGGTTCCAGCTATGCCCCGTCATATACAACGTCCCGCGGACAATCGCCCTTACCACCGCCAGCGAATCACACAAGAAATTGTCTATCTGCAACAAGCAAAAGCTACAAATATTTACGGCGACTATTAAAATTCAATCAGATGGACTTCGAGTTTGCCGTATGGCAAATGATTTACTTGTTTATATCCCCACAAAAAGTATACAGAAACTTTAATTACAGGAAGCGTAAGTAACAGCTTTTACTTTGACCTAATCTAGTAACCATATTGCCAATAACACACAGAGACCAAATCACAATTTGCCAGGGATGATCCTGCCTTCCTAGTTTTATTGGTGGTATGCCTATGCGGTAAGTGCAAAGTTTGTGGACTCTGCTAGAGAGTCAGTGCAACCAATTTATATAAAAAAATATTCTAGTGACCTCCGTCGTGCTCGCATGGACAATGGGACTAAACTTCTTGCAGAGTGTATCCTTCATTTTATATGTAGTTTTGGTGGATTGTATATTTGCGGGCATTATAGTTGCTTCATTCTTCTGGTTAGTGACGAATCGTTACTTGCGCAGCAGTAGTCTTGAACCAGATATCGAATGGGGCTATGCTTTTGATGTACATCTAAATGCTTTCTTTCCTCCATTAATACTGTTGCATTTTGTGCAACTGTTTTTCTATGAATGGGTTATAAGCCAGCCGTGGTTTTTCGCACGATTACTGGGAAACACATTTTGGCTTTTGGCATTGGGTTATTATGTCTATATAACATTTTTGGGCTATAACTGTAAGTAAATAAAGTAAATGTATGTATACAACTCCTTTAAACGACACAATTCTTTATTCGCACCAGGTATCCCCCATTTGAAGAACACGCGTCTGATTCTCATCCCATTACCTGTCATATTTTTATTCTATCTGGTTACTGTGATCATTGGTTGGAATGTGACCATTTCGTTTATTAATTTCTACAAGTTTCGTGTATACTAAATGATTGCAATAATAAGTTATAAGAACATATGTTCATGAAATCTTAAACAAAAAAATGTTTATAATATATATAAGAACACACTGATTACATATGTATTTATGTAACAAAGCGTAATTTTTAAATGCAATAATAACTAAAGCAACAAAGTAATAAGAAAATATTAAAAAAAAATCATCTTTCCGTTTAATGACTTTTATTGATATCTGCCACTTCACAAATTACAACTTGTGTAGTACATTCAATGGCTTAACAAAGTTCAAAAAA